ACGGATCTTTTGTGGCGATAGAAGAGGCTCTTAGTTCTTCTACTTTTACATTGTGATATAGACTATAGATAAGCAGCCGGATGGATGTATGGGGGATAGAATAGTTAGATAGATTATTAGCAAATATTTCTTGCGTTCTTCTTACATAATAACTGTAACAATAGTTAATAGTTAATTAATCCCTTCTGGGGTCTGCCATTAGGCTTAGCTCCTACAGCTGGTGTAGATCCTGTTGGGTCAAGTGGAGAGATATTCTCATCAATAAAGTTAGGGCACCCAAGGGATCTGCCCCAACCGTTGACCCCGTTGGAAGCCGAGGCGATCGGAGATTACATTATCAGAGGCAACCACGGATAAGAATCGTCTCTGATGGCAACGGGTTCTTCAATTTCTTACTCCCATGCATTTGATATACCGAACCAAACATACTCTCCACCTTGTGACCGGATCAAGTGAGGAAATAATAATTTTAAGCCATTCTAATCACATCCCAATCTATCAGCCGAGCGCAAGACTTAGCTGACATGGTGCGCCCGCGCCGAACCCACTCGGACCATCGCTTGCAAGATGTACTCTCGGCTCGCCAGTTCATTTCAGCTGATCAAGATGACTCGGTAGAGCCAGAGCTCGAACCCACTAATACAGTAGCCTCTAAAAAGAGACATGGGAAGATTGTTTCGTCGTCTACCGAGAAGAGTGAGGAGTCGTCCCGCACGGAGAAGGCCGACCAGAAAACATCCCCGGAAAATATGCCAAAGCCGCGCTCTCGATTGCACGTGCGCAGGAGCACAGGCAGGCCTAGGCTGGATCAGAGCACTGGTGGGGGCGTATTATCAGAGGTAGGACCTTGTCGCACCCGTGCAAAGATACTGTAAGCTTATTGTGATAGGATCGTCGAGATCAGATCCGGCGCGCGCAGCGGACCTACAGACTCAAGAAAGAAGCATCTCTAGAAAAGGCGAAGGAACGTGTGACTGAGCTCGAAGATAAGCTTAACAAGGTTGCTGCGGCAATTGCTGATTATAAAGCTGTGTTGCCGTCGGACTTGACGGCCAGCCATCCTGCGCTTCTAAGGCACCTAGATTGCTTGAGCAATCTTATAACATCAGATTCTGAGACAAAACCCTGTAGACATTCGAGTGCAGACTCTGAAACCGATATATTGTTACCGCAAAATAATGTCGCCTCCAACGGCCATCAATCCCTCTCTACCTCCAGGGCCGATTGTGACTGTCTTGAAAATTATCGAAATAGCAAGCATACAGAACCTCCAATAGGTATTTTGAAGAAGAGGCCTCAACCAGAAGCTCTCGATGAAGAACTGGAGAATAAAACAATCAGGCATTCAGTACGCTTTCGGGAAATCGGCCAATTGACCCAGAAAGATGTTCACTACACATACTCCTTCCACGAAACAGATTTTCCTCGGAGATTACACCGTTATTGTCTAGAGTACGCCTTCCGCCTGTTTGCCGACTCTCGCTCCGAACCACTCGAAGTCTACAGAGTTTTCAGATTGGTTCCCTGTATACAGGACAAAACCAGAATGTATCCTTATTTCCGAAGGCTTGTTAGCGCAGGAACTAAGGATGCATTAGAGTTACCAACTCTTCCTTTCTATGCTATCGGTGGTGCCGGGACACACTATCCTAGGAAAGATGAGATGGGAAACCCCGTATACCCCTCCAATACAAGACTTCCTAGACGGGTTCTCGGGATGTTCCATACACTAGGACTAATGAGTGCATCCGGTCAAGGTTCGAATCAGCAGAACTATTTGGAGCTCTGCGGATATGGAGGCAAATGGTTTGACTGTCGAGATGTGGAGGGATACCTTAGAGAGCAGGGAGTGGATCTAGATGGATCTTCTCTATTTCCGTCTATACATAATCCTCGGGTTCGCCGGATCTCACAGTCTATCGAATCCCAGGGGATACGTGAAGGAGAACAAGATTGTCAATTCATATCTGGCAATGGTAGTCCTACCATACTAACTAGCACACATAAATGTATGGTCAACGCAAATATCACCAAGCTCAACGCATTAACACATTTTAGGCACCAAGGTCGCAAAGAGACTTGAACGCTCTAAGAGGCGTTCCTTCGACGTCGAACAGTTCCTTAGCAGTATGTTACTCAACGCTATAATCCGTTGCCGAATTGAATTTCTGACGAATACCAGAACTACTCCATGGAGTGGTTATTCTAGGGCGGGTGCCCGGCTTCAGACAGACAGATGTCGCAGCTGCCTTCAAGTCCGCATTGAGGATTCAGGCACAATGATGAGATAATAGCTATTCAGGTATAACCAGGGTCTCTGATATTGTTGTTATTTACTCACCAACCACAGTACACTCATAAACTTCGATCAGACTTTCTGCGCTACGCGCGAGTAATCTATCGGACGTACGGCACATACTTTCAGCAGTCTCAACAGGCATATGTACGCGGAGGGAGTGGAACATCATTCTTTCATTGAAACGACTAACTAGCGGAACCTTCATAACCGAACTCATTCAGACCAGAAAACAAATAACTTTAAAGCTTAGACTTCTCCCCTTCGCTTCGTTCCCCTGAAGAAACATCAACAGCTCGCCACCACGGCCAGCCAACAGGCGCATCACGACTCATAGTCCCCTTAAACTCCACATCCCTCTTTTGAACAAAGCTCTTCATACCCTCGGCACTATCCCGGGACATCAACATACCCAGAAACAATTTCGATTCCAACAAGTGACCTTCCTCAGCACTCCCCGGAGCCCTGTACATCAGATCACGCATCACCTTCGTACTCACCGTAGACGTCTTCGCCGCTATCTCCCCCGCAATCTTCAGCGCCGACGCAACAGTCTCCTCCGGGCTCGGCAAGACCTCCGAGAAAAGCTCTCTCAGCAACGGATCAGACGCAGTATAAGTCGCACCAGTCGTCACCAGGTGCAACGCCCGCGACATCCCAACCAACTGTGGAAGGAAATAGGAACTACAGGCCTCCATGGATAGGCCGCGACGCGAGAAGGCAAAACTGATTTTGGAGCTTGCGCAGGCGACCCGAATCGTAGCGGGCAGAGTCACGGTGATTCCGAATCCTGCTGCTGGGCCGTTGATAGCCATGATGGTGGGCTTGGAGCAGTTGTGAATGGCTAGGGCGACTCGACCGCCTCTTGATGATTAGGTATTCATATCAGCAAATGGGGTGATTCTTTTGGTTTTGGTAGGGAACACGCACCCGTCTCTGTGCGACTCGATCTTCGAGGGGTCCTTTTTCAAATCGTCAATTAGGGCACCGAAGCCGAGTCGAAGGTCAGCGCCAGCGCAGAATGCTGGTCCTGATCCTGTGACTACTATTGCTTTGACACGGTCATCGCTATCGAAGTATCGGTATGCGGTGATTATTTCCTCGATCATTTGCCCTGTTGCGGCGTTAAATTGGCGGGGCCGGTTTAGTTTCAGAAGGACAACTTTGGTAGGGGTGGGCGAGGTCTCGGGAACATGGTAAATGGAGATGTCCTTGAAGGGGAGGGCTGTGTATGATTCTGGCAGGGTGATTTGGCTTGACATATTGTGTTTGGGCGTCTGGAGTTGCGGTGTGGTGTCTTTGGTATTGTTGTATGTGAAATGGGAAAGAGGGAAAAATAGGCCAGTCTGGATATTGATAAGGAGATCTTGTATCTTTATACGCTGAAGGGGATTAAATAATGGTTCTTGAGTCTCATGCCGTTGAGGTCATTTCCATGCCCGAGATAATGTAATCTGTCAGCCCTGTGCAAAACTGTCTGCCATTACCTCGGTGATAGGTGAAATCATGATCTTCGGAAACTGCCGATAGTAGGTAAAGGGATGTTCAGAACGAGCAGTCATGATGCTTTTCTCCAGTCAATCTCCTCTGCTGGATTTTCCTACATGAGCTGAAATCCACATGATCAGGTGTGTGCCAAGGTGATACTTTCTACAAAGTTAAGGAAGGCCATGGTCGAATTGAAATCCTAAGTATAATTCGCCCGCAGAGTCGTCATTAAATAAATAAACTAGAGTTAGGTAGATTACGATATATAGACTCCACCATGATACCGATCAACCCTCTGTCAGAAGACCTTACAGTTCCTGAATCCCACCAAGTAGGATAATAACATAGTATGAATCAACGATACATGCTTGCTTCGTACCACATAAGCCATTACTAAGATTATGGCGTAAAGGTATATATCAGGTATGAAGAAACACAATGTCACGGACCATGAACATTTGACAATCTGGCCGACATCATCGGCCAATAATGTCGGACGTAAGGAGTCTTCATACTACATATGATATTGTATGTACATAGCATGGGACCAAGGCCAGTGTGTTATTTCCCCTTATATCATAAATAACAAAAATACCTACGAACCCGCCACACCCATCAATATCTACTCGCTATCGCACCCCTCACGACAAGATACGCCAGACCGCTGCGTAGGGATGTCACCAAGCACGGAAAATAACAGGCTTTTAGTCTCGAATCTGGCAGCCGTGATGGCCACTTCTTTGTCACGCCGGACCACGAGATACCAGTTTAGTTTAAGAAGGTGTTCTCTACAGATCAAGGGATCGAAATAAGCTTGAACCCGGGAGTAGATATTGGTTGGGATAAGAAGGGATGACACCGTGGGTTGGTGGCGGGCGGGGGGAAGGAAGCAGTGACGGCGCCTCCGGTGAGACGGCCTTCGTTGGGAAAGGCGAATGGGAGACCAAAATCGTTTGAGATGGACGGGTTGGAGTTTGAGACTACAGACCAATCTACCTAGCTATGTACCAGTTACGAAACGACATGGGAAGTCCTGATAGGATGTTGTATATATACACAGTGGAAGATAATGGGTTATAGTAGCGTTTATTTGACGAACTTGGCTTGGTAATCTAGGAAAAACAGAGAATTGAAGTCGGATTCAGCGTCAAATCCTGGTCAGATTAACTAAATGCTCTTTATAAGTTATTAAATGCCAAGTACGACAACACGAAAACCCCCGATGGTCTAGTTGGATATGGCGTTCGGCTGTAATGGAACATTCTTTGTAACCGAAAGGTCGCCGGCTCGATTCCGGCTCGGGGGACGTGTTTCTTTTTTGCACCCTAGTTCCCACCATACTGTCTGTCTAATCGTTTGCCTTGTCATTATTGGCTTTTGCAGGACCATACTATCTATCCACCCTGGCCATGAATACATTGTCTTGAAGTTCCCACCTATATCATCTAGAAGGAACAATCAGCTTTCAGTCAAAGAAACTGTCTTATGGCTAATAATATTCTGCTATAAAATAACAGCCAGTGGTGACTATCTGGTAAAGCGGAGCGTAGGTAGGCCAATTCCAAAACTTACCAATTATTCTTCAAAACATTCATGGCCAGAGATAGATAATGGACCATAAATATACATACAAAGGGCCCCCCCCCCCCAATTTACGGGAATAGTTGCAATGCATACAAGCTAAAGAGTCAAAATTAAATGCTCCTAACCGCTAACAACACCGAGTGTCACGGGGCCAGCCTGACCTGCCATTCTGCCTGACTTGACCGCCATGTCATGTGATCCTAGCCTGTTTGACTTTTTCGTTTGATCTTGATTCTGTTGTAGCTTCTCAAGCTACGTCTCGTCTATCTGCCTGTATATAGCTTGACCAGTAGTAATTCTGTGTATCAACTCTGTTAGCCTGCCTGAGCCTACACCCTGACATTACGTAGCTTCTACTTATAGAGTCGATACACTACTATCATGACCCCTGTCCCCCGACCCCCATTCCTGGCTGACGATCCCGATGGACTCGTAAAGCACGTCGCAAAACATGGCACTGACTGGTTCAATTACTGCAAATTAGTAGATGAAT